AGAGGAAAAGAATGTGGAGCCACATCCACTGCCAAATTCATCAAGATCTTGATCACAAATGACTCTGTTCTCGAAGGTGTATTGAAAGAGTCCATGAGGACAGGTAGCATTAGGCTTTGTCATATCAATATCAGCCACTCTTGTCCAACCACCAATACCATCACAATTACTACCCTCCATATCACAATACACATTGACAATACTTCCATTGCTTTGGGTAATGTTATAATAGCCAGTAGCAGTACCAGGGAGTCTCTCCAATATATCACTGCAAGTGTAATAGCTAATGCTTCTTGCCTCTTGGCATGGATCATCGGGTAAGCCCTGAGGTGGGCACATTGTGATGATTTTATAAGTCTCAGTTTTCTTCAGCTTAATAATGTTCCCATTGTTTGGAGGCAAGCAGCAGTACTGGTGATAGAGTGAAGGGTTAGTGTAGCCATTTGAACAATCAGCAATGCAGAGGTCATTTGTTGTGGCATGAGCTTCTCTTGCTTGTAGGAGGAGACCAACAGTCCAGAATATTATCACTGAGTAGGCTAGATCTGGTGAAGACATTCTGAGTTTAGGAAAAGACTACACAAACTGCGTGGCTCACACACCAAGCATGCATAAATGAACACACAGTGAAGACAGGATGTGACGTTTGCGTGGGTGGTAGCTAACTACATTCTTGCTGACAAAATTAATGTTGCATTCTGCTAAGTCTACATCTGTGTAATTTGCATGCTGTATTCAGGTATAATGAAAAATAGAAATAACTATAATAGCAGCAACAATACAACTACAGCAAAACATTATCTATTGCATGGGGTGAGCCCAATACTAAAAAACAAAACACCAGGAATAGACACAATCTCTAAACAATGACACTCAGACACTGCATTACAGATCAATTGATGTATATCTCAAAGATATCAATAGGACTAGCTTCATCAACAAATCCTTCACTAGAACACACTCGCAGTTCAATATCATCAGTGGTTGACTGGTTCAGTGTTTTAACAAACCATGGCATCTTAGGAGAGGTGCAGCAGAGATTCTCTAAATTGCCACATTGTTGCCCATCCCACAATGGATCATTAGGAAAGAATGTACGAACGACTTGAGTTGCAGCTCCAACTCCTGACTCACAATAATAATCATCTCCAACATAAAACGGCGTAACTTCTGTACTGTTTAAATTACAGGGACAGTCTTGTCTCTTGTTATCAATCTCCTCTTGACCAACTGCATACGTCCATACATGTTTACGTGGGCTTCCATGAGTAATAGACACTCCATCAACATAGGCGCCATTAATGTGTGATGATCCATAATGATTATCATAAATACCATCAATCGTTCCATACTGGTATCCCCTAACCTGCCCACATACTTTAGTGTAACGTAAGCCACTAGTAGAAAAGAAGGTTCCACTACAGCCATTACCAGTTTCATTATGATTCCTATCACAGAGCGTTTTGTTATCTAAATTATATTGATAGAGTCCTTCTGGGCAGGTAGCATTAGGCTCTGTCATGTTGATATAAGCCACTCTAGTCCAGCCACCAGTACCATCACAGTTGCTACCCTCCATATCACAGTACACTTTGACAATGGTCCCATTGCTTTGGTTATAATGTTATAATAGCCAGAGACAGCATTGGGGTTATTCTCTAATGTTTCCTTGCAAGACTGATATACTCTTACAGTCTCACAAACTGGATCAGATAGGCCATCGACTGGACAGAAGAACATTATTAGAAGATCGTTGTCTCTCTTCTTGATTTTTTTCCCATTGTTAGCAGGTAAGCAGCAGTACTGATGATAGAGTGAAGGTTCATTACTAGTAGTACATGAAGAACAACCATCAGTCATGCAAGCTGATGAGGTATCAGCAACAAGTAGTACTTGGAATACAACAACCAAGATATACATGTAGAAAAAACTTGAGCAGCAGAAGTTGGAATTTTAGTGGCTTGAGGTTAGCATTATGTATATTTAAAATTAGTCTCATTATAAAAGAATGCTAGCGTTTTTGTTGCCTTTGAGTAGTATTATTATACTATACTACTCAACCGCAACAAAAGCATTCTTTTATAATGAGACTGCAGTGGCCCGCCGGCGCCTGACTAAGTGGAACCATAGATACTGTTTGTAGTATCTATGGTGGAACCTCTGTTAACGGACAGTCCCTGTAACGGACACCTACCTTATAACGGACAGTACCTGGTGTACCAATTGAATTTTCCATGCATGCAATACAAATAAAACCTCCGTACAGCGGACCCTCTCTTTTCCTGACAGCGGACATCCAACTGTGCACCAGTACAAGAACTTGCAGGACAGTAGGTGTGGCTAATAATCACGTTGCTTAGCAACTGTTACTAGGGTGCCATTTGATTGGCAAAAAACATTGTGCTATGTGTACTCGTCTGTGCTGCTTTAGGAAAACCATTTAAGTACTTCTAATAGTTGGATGTCATTGCTAAGAAGATATATCTAGACAAATTTCTCATTATAGAAGACAATATATGATCCTTATTGGAAGGAGACACCGTTCACTGCACTGATGATGGTCCATATGTACTACATTATGTTGAATATCCATAATTACCTTCCTTGAACATAATAAAAAGCCTGGATAACTATGTTTCTATGACAGCAAATGATTTTTAATGAAAAAAACATGAATTATTTAAATAATGTGCTGATATAATAACCTCCTTATAAAGGACACCTCCAAATAAAGGACAAAACTATTTGTCCCAATGTGTCTGTTATTCGGAGGTTCCACTGTAATGCTAATGTACAGAAGCCATGATTATACTTACATAAACTGTTATCATAGCTCAAGTTATACAAGATAGAATTCCTATAATATTATAATATCCTTAGCTGTAAAGGTGGGTTCAGAATATTTGCGTTGTGACCGGAAGTGCTGTATAACGCAATGGGTAAACGCAAGAATAGAACTCTGCTCTATTCTTGCATTTATCATTGCGTTATACAGCACTTCCGGTTGCAACGCAAATATTCTGAACCCACCTTTACAGGAAGCTGGGGACATTGTTTGTATTGTTCTTATCAGCAAAAATTTAAAGCGCCTGCCTATGTAAAATAATTATTATCTGCTACGTTTTTAATAATCATTGCATTATTCTTTAATCATAAGAATAACATTAACATAATGATAATAATACAATGCTGTTACAATAATAATAATAGTAATAATAATGAATTATAAATATTCATAGTTAAATGTCACCATTACAGTCAGGATTGATTAATAACGTTATTATTACTTATTAATTATTATTGCTAATTATTTTCGGTCTTTTGTCCCGATTACTATTTTCACCACTTTGATCTAGAAAAAAAGTGAAAAAAAATTTAATCCTTCAATTCTCATTCTTTCCCTCTCTCTCTTTTAAAAATTCTTTATGTTCCACTCACCCCCTCCCCCTCCTATATGCATTTTGCATAAAAAGTTTAAGCTGATTCTAATCAAAATTGTATTTTCATAAATTTTAAAGTTGATAAAAAATCAGGCAAAAGTCCCTATGCAGGGTTGTTGGGCAAATTTCGCCAAAATTAAAAAAGAAATTTTCCATTTTTATAAACTTTTTCTGATGCATGTACTTATGTTGTGTAGAAAGTTTGAGTTGGTTGCAATCCAAATTAGATTTTTTTTACAAATTTTTTAGAAAGTTACCTAAAATTCGGGCTAAAGTCCCAGTACTATAGTACAGAGTTATTGGCCAAATTTCACTAAAATTGAATAGGAGAAAATTCTCCATTTTAATAGCTTTTCTCATGCATATACATGTACTTATGTTGCGCAGAAAGTCTAAGCTCATTTGGATCAAAATCACAATTATTAAAGGTGCTCCAAAATCAGGCCAAAGTCCCTGTACAAGTACAAAGTTGTTGGTCAAATTTTGCAAAAATTAAAACGGAGATAACTATCCATTTTTTATAAAATTTTTTGATGCATATATATGTACATGTACATGTACATGTAGTAGGCAACTCTTTGGTTACTTTGATATTTGGCAAATACAATATATTATTGACAGTGAATGGTATACAGTTACTTTTGATTGAAAGTTTAGGCTAGACAGGAATTAAAAATATTTGGCATAATAGCCATGTACATGTACATGTATGTTTATAAGTCCATCCTATATCAATCAAAACAATAGAGCCAGAAATACCACAAGGGATATGTACCTCAACCTCCCCTGCTCCCTCCTCTTTCTCTTCCCTGCTCCCTCCCTCCCCCCTCCCTCTCTTCCTCCCTCCTCTCCCTCTCTCTCTTGTACCTGAGGTCATTTGTGATGCTGATCTCTTCTTAGGTATCCTTGCTAGTCCTTTAGCAGAGGGAAACTGCAACGTTAGCAGAGGAATCTTGACATTCATCTACATGTACACAATAAACACAAACAAGTTGATGTGTGTCACATGAAAAATGAATTAAATATTTTAAGATAAAGGAAGACTAGCTTATATACTTTTAAAGATTCTTCTTCCACAGGGGGAGAGGCAATTGAGCCTTTCTTTAATGTCATTTTCAATCCTTGTTGCTGTGTCAATAAAAAAGATACAAGTCATTTTTTAAGTTGAGAAAGTAGTGAAGGATGGTACATGTACATATAATGGTTTTAAGTTACAGTGTAGCTTTTGCTATACATGTACATGTACAGACGGTGGCCACAGCCTCGAAGCATGTAAATTACTGTGTACATGCTAAATAGAGGGAATTTTTGTAGCAAGAATTTCTGGGGAAATGCCACACACAACCACATATAATTATTAATAAGTTGACACTTGGCAGAAATATTGACGTGGCAGTAAATTTCTATTTATCTGAAAACCATCAAATCACCAAATTAAAATTGTCTAATACATGTCTCTCTAATTACATGTATATATGTAGCACAGTGTTCATGTGCAAATACACCAGCATGTACATGTACATGTACATGTTTATACAAGTGTATAACCCAATGATACTACCATCATAGCCAGAAATTTTAATGGCAAAAAAATTTTGCGGTTTGATGGCTCCCAGTCTATTTGTGGTTTTTATTTTCGTGGATCAGTAGTGAAGCACCCACGCCTCTCATTAACATGCTAATAATTCATGGTTTTCAATTGTGTGGTGTCATTTCAAAGCACAAAAACTATGAAAGCTTTCGGCCACAAAACTTTCCGGCTATATGGTATAAAGTCAGTCTAATAAACTTTTAACCTTTTGGACTTGAAACTTTGGTGTCTGTAAGCTATCATCCAATGAAGAATTCCCAGCCAAACTCTTAGCACTGAGAGATGGGCTCAGGGATATAGTGAGAGGACTATCAGCCTGATGACGCTTTTGAGTCCTAAGCTTTGACCTTTGACCTCCTCCAGTGGGAGTAGCTGTTTCCTCTTCAATAGAATAATCCTCATCACTAGCATAGTCCGAGTTTATGTCTTCATCACTGTCAGCATAAGAGGGTGATGGAGAGGGTGAGGAGGAGGAGTCCTCTTCCGTTAGTGCTGGGACTGGATTGAATAGGTCCAGTCCTTCCATTGGTTTGGGCCAGACTTTGTTACGGAAAGCAAAAATGATGCGACTGATTCTGATGGCAACGGCTTTCTCCTGTAAATAATAATGAAATAATTATTATGATTGAAGGAAATGAAGAACGATAATAAATAAGGGACTCAATTTAATGCTAAATTATTTGGAGGAAATAACTCAAACTTTCTATATACAATGTACATGTAGCATAAGAACATCAGCATGTTGATCAATAAATGTAATGAAAATTTTGAGGTATTTTCAGAGCCATTTTTTGGAAATACCATGGGCTTTTTTTATAGCCTTTGCTTTTTTTGAAAACTGGCTCGTTTTTTAAAATGTTCATAACTTGAACTATTTGTCGATATCAGCTCAAACTTTCTACATAGCATAAGGACATCAGCATGTATCAGAAAATGTACGTAATAAAAATTTGGGTAATTTTGGAGCCATAAATGGCAATAACTTGAAAAATTGAAGTTGGAATTGGCTCAAACTTTCTACACAGCATAAGAACATCAATATGTATCAGAAAATGTCATAAAAATTTGGGGTGATTTTGGAGCCATTTTTCAGAAAAAAGTATGGGCTATAGCCTTGGGTAATTTTCACAAATTGGCCATTTTAAAAAACGGCCATAACTTGAAAAATTGAAGTCAGAATTGGCTCAAACTTTCTACACAGCATAAGGATGTCAATATGTATCAGAAAATGTAATAAAAATTTGGGGTAATTTCGGAGCCATTTTTCAGAAAAAACCATGGGCTATAGCCTTGGGTATTTTTCAGATTTTGGCCATTTTAAAAAATGGCCATAACTTGAAAAATTGAAGTTGGAATCAGCTCAAACTTTCTACACAGCATAAGGACATCAATATGTATCTGAAAATGTGATAAAATTTGGGGTGATTTTGGAGCCATTTTTTGGAAAAACCATGGGCTATAGCCTTGGGTAGTTTTCAAGAATTGGCTATTTAAAAAATGCTCATAACTTGAAAAATTAAAGTCAGAATCGACTCAAACTTTCTACATACATGTACATGTAACATAAAAACATGTAGAAGAAAAACTGTCAAAAACTATAAAAAGTGGTTTTCGGCAAAATCAACAAAACTTTATCATTATTTGCTCTTTATCCTTTACCTTAGGCCATCCAAGAGGTACAGGTGTAGTGTTATTTGGTATGATGGCAAAAGACGGTTTTGTTTTCTGTTCCTCTTCTCCAGTCCCTTCATCCTCACTATCACTGTTCTCTCTTTCTCCTCCGTCTTCACTCTCACCACCTGTCACAGAGTAAAGACAATCGATAATTGACTTTTAGCAAATTTGGCATTTTGATAGCCATTCGCCAAAATAAAAACTAGACATTTTGAGCCATTATGCGCATGCTCAATGGCACATGGCCACAAATTCGCCAATCACCAAAATTTTGCGACTTGCCAAATTTAACTCACCCTGAAATTTTCCACTACACATAATATATTTTTTTTGCAAAATTATTTCTTAGTAAAAATACAGTAATCTACCATGGACATGTACATATTGAAGGATATTGTGTATGATAGTACTTCATATTATATACATGTACATGTACAATTATGCATGCAGCATAGCGTGTAATTTTGAGTAGGAAATTTGCTGACTTAAAAATTACATGTACAGTCAAACCTCTCTAAAACGAACCCCCAATTAGCGGACACCTCTCTATAATGTACAGTTGCTCTTGTCCCGGCCATAAGGCCATTGGGTAGTGTATAAAAGAACCTCTGTATAGCAGAACCTCTCTATTCTGTATAACGAACGAGATTTACTGTCCCCACACATCTACACGTGTACAAATTAACCTCCAACGGATGGACATGGCCCATGCAACGGACTTTCTAATTAATGAGCATCAATAAAATGGCGGATTTTCTGGTCTGATTAGCATGGGATAACCTCCGATTTAAGGACACCTCTGTATAAAGGACAGTGATGGCTGGCCCATAGGTGTCCGTCTTAGAGAGGTTTGACTGTATACATATGCTTAAGCTAAACTAGTCATATTAATAAAATTTGACAAACTTGTTAAAATATTTCACTCAAATAACTGCCAACTTTGTTGTGAATGCAACTTACTAAAGTTGGCATAGTAATAGTAATAATAATATTATTAATAGTATTAATAATATTATTAATAGTAATAATAATAGTAAACAAAAATGTAATATTAACAACAACAAAATACTATTGACTTCATGTCAGTTACATTCTTTATTGTTATTGCATGTTGGTATGAATAAAGCTGACTGAGGTACTGTAGTAAGGAATGAGAGTTCAGGATCATTGTACAGTAAGAAATCTGTCCTGTATAGACCGTGCCTGGAGAGAAGAGAAGGAAGAGTATGGAGTACATGTACATGTACATGTACATGTCTGTGTACACACATATTTTACATACCTTAAAATAGAATTAATTCAAGCTATTGCCTTAAAAGTATTAATAGTCCCTCTACTATTATTTGGATTGTCAAGTTGCTCAAAAATCGGGCCTACAATCTTGTACTATAGTACAGGGTATTTTGGCAAAAATTACAAGGAGAGAATTCTCCATTTTTATAATTTTTTCTGATACATATACATGTTCTTATGTTGTGTATCAACTTTGAGCTGATTCCAATTAAGTTAAAATTTTTTATGAATTTTTAAAGTTGCTCCAAAATCAGGCCAACGACCAAAGGCTATAGCCTTTGGCCAAATTTTCTCAAAAATGGCTTGAAGTGAATTCTCCATTTTTATAATTTTTTCTGACACATATATATGTTTATATGTTGTATATCAATTTTGAGCTGATTTCAATCAAGTTTGGATTTTTTAGCTTGCTCCAAAATTGGGCCAATGACCAAAGCCTTTTGGCCTTAGGCCAAATTCCATCAAGAATAACTAGGAGAGAATTCTCTATTTTATAATTTTTTTCTGATACATTATACAAGTCCTTATGCTGTGTATCAACTTTAAGCTGATTCCGATCAAAATTAGATTTTAATGAATTTTTAAAGTTGCTCCAAAGGCCATGTACTGTATTGTAGTGGTTGTCAGCTCATGAAGCTCATGCTGTTTAGCTCACTTAGCATGCTTTGTGTGAAACCACATGATTAATTGAAAATAATATTAAATTGCTTTTAAAAATTAATTAAAATTTACATCATTATTAATTTTTAAAAATTATACTGTTCAGACAAAATGGTAAAACAACACAAAATTGTGTCGGACAATTGAGCAAAGTGGACGAAAAATGTCTCATGTCCGACTCTTACTTTAAACACTGCTAATGATTACACCCATTTGATCCCTCACTATACACTATATTTGCTACACACAATTAAAAGTACATGTACAATCATCAGTGGGTACCAAAATTAGCATTATAAAAGTTAAATAAAGGCAATTGGGTATACTAAAAGAAAAAGTAGTTGTAGTGTCATATTTTCTTACTTTGCTACTCCTTTGAGCAGGTCCCTATCATGAGTATCAGGTATCCACCAGTGAGGTACTTCAAATGAAGCTTGACATAACTTTATTAGCTCATCAAATTGTGGATGAGGTAATATCTGAAGGAAACAGTAAGTCATTTTGAACAAGTATGTACAATAATATGAAAACTTTAAAGAAGCAAATTCATTAGTATATAAGTTATTAGAATTTATAACGTACTTCTCTTCTAACAGCTGATAATAAATCAAGTCTCTGCAAACACTTGATAGCTTTGTCTTCAGTCACTGGATCCAATAGAACTCCAGAATATCCTACAATTACATGTACATGTACATAATAATAACTAAGCTTAATACTGATCAATATACAAAGATTGCATATTTCAATATACAACAACTCATTGATACATGTATGGTTTACTTTCACATAAATTTACATGTACATACTGTATAGCAGGAAATACTGACAGTAATAACAATAATTGGTATAATATTCAACATTTTATAACTGGACAACTTACCCATCTTCGGTCGCTTCCTTTTAATGACACGACGACACATTTCCTTAAAGTCGTGGAAGTACAGAGTAAGACGATCATCGGTCTTCTTGCCAAGATTAGCCAATTGCCTATAAATAATCATTTTAATACATGTAACTCCAAAATCTTAATCTTTGCAGCTATATGTAAAGCTGCATCTAAAATACAATTAATGATATCCTGTACATGTATACATGTATGTGTATAATAAATTGTAATGGCCCTACAATTAATTATTTATTATCAATGCACATTCTCCCCAACCATGATCATGATACAATTAATACTCGTCGTATTATATGAGAAGTACCTGTAAATGCTACATGTCACTGCATGTGTATAATTTAACCATTTTATGGACAGGGAAAATAAAAAAGAACCGGGAATAAAATTAAGAGTATAATAACCATTAGTGTACATAATTAATTATTAATAAGTTGTACCTAAAGTGTGTCCAATCATATTTATTTGATCCTTCTTCATATTCAATGCCAAAGTATGACACGATACGACCGAAATCTTGCTCCTCTCTCTTCGACCATTTCTGAGCCAACTCAGCTTTCTTTAGCTCTCTCTTCCTCGAGACTTCAGCCTCTCTCTCCTTCCTTTCTTGCTCCTGTGAAAAAATTTAAAAAATAATTATAAAACTAATTATGAAAACTAATTTAAAGGCAAACACAAGTAAAATACATGCATGTACATAATTACTGCATCCAAGAGTACATTATGTATAGTCTGGCGTAGCCAGACCCCTGTACTCTTGCTGCATCCAATGCATGCCGGCCTTGCTTAAAGCATGGCAGGGCCTGGATATACTGTCACTATGATGTTAAATTGAAACTAAATATTACAACTACTATAAAGAGTGTACATGTACATAATCCTGTACTTTAAATATAATGGTATACTGGCTTGGCTTTGGCTAACTAGCCAAAGCAAACAACCCTCACAAATCCAAGCCAACTGAGCATCCACCATGATGAGGGCGTGGTCCATTTGGATTGATTGATTCACATTGCACAATCACAATGGTGGCTGAAAAGGAGAGGCTTGTTTGAGCTCAGCCAACTCCTGTATCGTCTTTACCAGCTACAAACAAGCCCCAACAAAAAACAAGAATCACTTGTACTTCTACAGACTGGCCGGAACAAGCGCCACACCGCATTAATCCTCCCTTTTTGAATAATAAGGTCAGAAGACAGTACAGCAACACCTCGAGCAACACAATAATGATTGGTGGAGCCGATATTCCAGAAGACAACGTAATACCGATATGTTATAAGTTTGACAACTCACAAGCACGCAGAATTGGTGTAGCTCGAGCAGCCAGTGGTATCTCAACATTGATCGTCTCACTAGTCGCTATTGTCATCATACTCTCCATGAAAGCCATCAAGCAGTATCCGCAACGCCTCTTCTTTTACTTGACTCTAGCAACTCTCATACAAGCGCCTACGTTTACACTAGAAGTGTTATCTGTTAGCTACAACAGAAGCGAATCTGAGCAGCCCCTGTGTAGCATAGCTGGTGTATACACAATGTACACAAGCTGGTTACAGAATCTCATAATATTGTGGATATCGGTATACCTAGTGAGAGTCATTGTACTACGTTTAACTGTCTATAACAAGAAGCTAGAGGTTTTCCTTCTAATACTATTCCTTGTTTTACCTATCCCTGGGGCACTGATACCACTCATTAAGAACAAGTACGGTATGGTGGGGGCTTGGTGCTGGATAAAGGACTTCAATTCGACTGATTGTGTACGTCATGATAACCTGGGAATAGCGTACCAGTACACTCTTTGGTTTATACCAGTAATGCTAGAAGTAGTCATAATTGCTATTGTGACTGTATTGATAGGAGCTGTGTTATGCGTTCGTGGATTCATCGCTAAGAAGTACGTCCTCTTCCAATCTGAGTATCGGAAGTTGCTACGCGACTCTATCCCACTTCTCTGCTTCCCATTATTCTTCTGCTCCATTAGCTGCTTCGAGTTAATATTGTACTGGAGTAGTCTCGACGCTGAGCCAAAATACAATCTATGGATGCTCAATGCAATACTAACCCCTTGTAAAGGGATATTAATGATCTTTGGGTATCTGATACCCATGATTTGGATCAGGATTAAAGACTATCGGGCAAAGAAGGGTAGACTTGTCTTACGAAAGGAGGATTGGAGGAGTGACAACAACTCTTCATTTTTAGACACAGTTAGCATTAGGTTCCAGTCGTCTGGTGGTGAAGATCACTATGGGAGCGTTTCAGTCTACAGCACTGAGATAAAGAATTAAACGAGTAACTTGCATTATATGATTTTCTGTGTTTGGCTGCTACAATGTAAATTAAATGCTATAAAATGTGAATTGAATATTTTAGTCTATTATACACATGATCATAACCACATTGAGACTCGAGAGTATATACACAGTGTATCTATACATGTAAGTATGTGTAGTCTAATTTAATACATAAGCTACATTACACAATTTGAGCATTATTCTCTTATAAGCATAATCCTACATTTGTGGTTGTATGCCTCTATACATTCCAATTAATTAGTAGCCATAATATTTTATGGACACGTAGATGCACCAAACAAAATAACAGACATTCCTTATAACATTAGCGACGTAGACTTTCATGCTATATGAGCATGTCTACAACATCATTCACAGGTTAATAGGCTGGGAGTCCCACGGTACAATAAATATCCTTTTTAATCAAATAGACAACATAGCTATGATCATACCCGTACAGCTGATTCTGTTTACTGTTTATGGTAAATGACAATAATAACTCTCCCAACCCACTGCATAGCATAGTGTGAGTAGGTGGTGTTGCTATTCACACAGACTGTAGTGGTTCCTTAGATAGTGTGACCTCCTCTTCACTCTAACAGAGTTATCCTACTACACTGTCTATATTCAGTGAGTGAATGACTGTGTGGGGCTACTACTGATCTAACAGGCCTAGGACAACTATTCTACTTCCCCTGAACAAACATACCAAGTGATATTTCCTGAGAGTGTAAGGGGCAGAGCAAGAGAAGAGAAGAGAGTATTTGCTGCTGTTTATGAAAGAGAAGAAGACTGGAGTCTAGGAAGGAGACAGTAATATATTGAGCTATTGAGCTATCAAATAAACTGAAGGAGAAAGTAAAGTCAATAGATAACAGTACACACACACACAGAGCTTTGATTGTGAGTCAATATAAAGTTAATATTCATTGCCCTCTACTTTTTCCTAAATCATGGATGAGTCAGACACTAACTCCTCTAGTAGCAGCTCTTGTGATGAGTTTGATGACTTGGACTACAAGATAGTATCTGGTGTACGTGCTTTCTCTGCCTTTATTTCTCTAGTCAGTTGTCTCATTGTCATAATACTAATATTTCTATTCAAGAGACATCACTACTTTATACAGAGGCTAGTCCTTTACATGTGTTTCATGGCTGCTATCAACTCTGTTACTATCATGATACAGAAGGTGGACTATTTCACGCCAGACACAAATCAAAGGGATGCCTTAGATAAATACTGCATATTTGCCGGATTCGCAGAATACTACACCAGTGCAGTAGAACTCATTGGTTTTGTGTGTATAACACACGGTCTGTATCGTACTGTGTTTAAACAGAAACCAAAGAAGTACCTTGAGCTAGGATACATATGTATTTCTCTCCTTTTCCCTCTGTTACCGGCATGTGCCCCGTTTTTTGGCTTCATGTATGGTAAATCAGGCCCGTGGTGTTGGATCAGGGAGAGATCAGATAACTGTGATAAAGAGACCGTGGGGATTATCTTCCAATTCGTGCTCTGGTACATACCACTAGTCCTACTCACCGTCTCAACTTCCATAGTGTACATAGCAATGTTCTGTAAGGTACATAAGAGCATTGAGAGTCATTGGCAAGGACCGTACGATCCCGAGCTATTCCTTCATAAAGGACGACTTAGGAAAGTTGTAAAAATCCTACTAGCATACATGCCTATACTCTTCCTACTCATCAACCTCATGTCTCTTCCTAATGCTATTCAATGGGCGATTGGCGAAAAGCCAATACTAGCTCTGTGGATATTACACGGAGTGTTCCCGCCGTTTAGAGGAGCCTTGTTTGCTATTCCTTATCTCTTCCACACCGACACGAGACAGCAGATAAAACAGATCGGGATAAGAGGAGCCGTTAGAGAGAGATTCATGAGGAAAAAGACGGTGACAAGTTATCCCGCGAAAGAATGCAATTTCTCCGATAGTCTGACTTTCCCAGCAGCAGCCGATACCACTTATGAAAGGAACAAGCCTTATCGTAATCCAAGCCTTCGGCAACAAGAACTATCTCAAAGATACTCTATACCCACGATACCTCAAGTTGCGACTCTCAGCGAGAATACTACTAGCACTAGTATTAGTACGTATAGTACTGATCTAGGGACACACTCTAGTCTGTCGGGATTACTCACGTCAAGAAATGCAGCTGACACACACAGTGAATGTGAAAGTAGAAATCAGCAAAATGAGTAATCATAGTGATACAAATATTGAATATCATTGTAGTGGTAATGTATACATTACTAAGTTATTACACTATTATTATTGATAATAATAATAATTATTATTGTTATTATTATTATTATTATTGTATTGTTATTTAATATACTAATGTAAGGATCTACTTATCTCTTTCTCTGTCTGTCTGTCACTGATACTTAATGTTTTTATTTTAGTGTTTTGATGATGTGATTTATGACTAGGAAAACAGTAGTGGGTTTGGTAGTGTCTATAGATAATTTAGGAATCACAATCAAGCACAAACAATAGCTGTCAAAAATTTGAGAGAGAAGGGAGGAGGAGGAGACACAGAGAGAGAGAGAGGGAGAGAGACATAAAAGAAAGTAAAAAGTATTGAGGAGTGATACTATAGCACTGTAGACACTAGACAGTAGACACACATTCCTGATAGTAATAAATACCGGTATGCATACATATCAAAGAGATGTACTCATACACACAAAATGTTGTAAATTGCAATGTATGATAAGAATCTACATTTAATATAATAAGAAACTCAATGTTTTGATAGGACATTATGACAAAGGAAGTGCACTACTTTAATTAGCAATTAGCACCGCAAGTACAAAGTCTGATAATGATGTAGGTGGGTCAATGTTGGGTGGGGCACTTCACTTTAGCATGCAATTAGCAAACTTATCAAGCCCTGCTGTTAGATAAACAACAAGCTTGCAAGTGTAACTTTCACTAAAACAACTGGAGTGGAAAAATGTCGAACAATTCCTCGGGAGTCGACCTGAGCTGCTTCACAGTCTATGACAATGATGGATTCGTGGCAGTGGTGGCCGTAAGAGTGGCTCTCTCGATAATCTCAATCCTGTGCTGTCTGGGCATGTTACTAATCATCCTTCTCTTCAAGAAGTACCTTTTCTTTGCACAAAGACTCATTGCCTACCTAGCAATAGCTACCCTGGCTTACTCGGTCGTGTCAGCAATCAACGTTGAAGGCTACAAAGCGTACAGAAACGACGCCATAAAGGGCTACTGCGTTTTCACAGGACTACTAGAACAGGTCGTGTCGTGGTGGGTCCTCCTAGCTATCAGCTGTATCGTGTTTGATCTGTTTGTTAAAATCATGCTAAAGCGTGAGACTGAGAGATTCGAGTGGGTCTATATCATTGTGACCCTCGTCACTCCTCTCATCACAGCTTGGATACCATTCATAAACCTGGCGTACGGCTCCTCAGGTGCTTGGTGCTGGATACGAGGAAACGATTACGATGATTGCTCATCTTTTACATTCGGAGTGGTATTACGATTTGTACTCTATTACGCTCCCTTCTACATACTAATGTGTGCATTGCTAATAGCACTAGTCATTGTTTTCGTCCGACTCAGAAAACAGAGGAGGAGCTGGACGGGTAACTTTGATCCGACGGTCCTTGCACTCAAGAAAAAAATGTCCCAGGAGGTATTTCCTCTCATATCCTACCCCATCATATTTTTAGTCATTAACATCATTCCACTGATATTAAGGATTGTTAATGCCGTTAAATCGAACGAGCCCATAATTGCTTTGTGGTTCCTGTCCACAATTGTGTTTTCACTCCAAGGGGCAGTAGTGATGCTCGCCTTTGCTCTTGATCCCGAAACGAGACGTAACCTAGCCCCTATGCAGCTGTTGGGTGCTATAAAGAGACAAGTGACTAGAGAAGGACAGGTCAACGAGTATGAGATGGGAGACGATAATGAAGGGGAACCAGAAGTGGTCAATTCGACTAGTATAAGTTTCCCAAGCTATCCAGATGAAGATCAATAGTGGAAACACTGATGATTATTAATTTTTATCCCAATTAGTTTATGTAAGCAAACACCAATAGAACCTCATTGCATAGTTTTCATTACATATATCCTTACATGTGTATAATGGGACATTTGATTATGTGTGTATAACATAAACTTTATAAATAACCTTCAGTTTACAAATTTAAATGACCCAATAGGATACTGAAACTTGATGGAGGTGTAACTAAGTTATAACTTCCAACAAAAGCACAGATCTGCTAGTAGGGAAGTCATAATTTATCCTGGAGCTCTCAAAAGTGTCCTAAAACTATCTCCTCAATTCCAGTGAATGGTGAGTGTTTGGTTGTGTTCAAAAAGGTAACCTTTTGAAGTCAGTACTCATGGATATGAATTACACAGAATGTTTTGAGAGAAACTATTATCTCTTAGGCCCAAAGTTGGCCTTCTCTTTCCTCTCATGTCTCTTCATCATTGGAATGATAGTCATCCTCATATTGCTCCAAAGGTACAAGTTCTTTACACAAAGGCTCAGCCTCTACCTTGCCATAACTGCTTTTGGATACTCAGCATCAAATTCCGTTGACTTTACATCATACTATGCACCTACAAACACAATAGCACTCTACTATTGTCGTATCATTGGGTATGTACAAACGAATGCAATAATGTTCTTCTACATGGCAACAGCTGTCATCATGATAGTAGTCTTCATTGAGGTTACCTGTAAAAGAGCGACCGATCAGATGGAAGTGTTGTTTGTCTTTCTAATCTTTGGTTTGCCTTTACTAATAACATGGATCCCATTTGTGACTGATGACTATGGCCCCTTGGGCTCAGCTTGCTGGTTTACCCTCGTTGATATGGAAACTTGTGAAATATCAACAACTGGGGTGATCCTCATCATTGCCATTTACTTTGTTCCAACAAAACTCATCATGATAATCGTCTCACTTCTCCTCCTGGTGACATTGATATTCGTTAAAAGACAGCGAAAGGTTGCTAAAATGCAACGCGAACAGGAAAACAGACATCAAATGCGAAAACAACTCGAGACAGAGCTTCGCCCACTCATGACGTACCCAGTAATAGTCCTGGTAGCTAACCTATTGGCTTTTGCTGCATTTTTAGCAATGAGTTTTGATGGAGAGAATTTCTATGTTCGTGTCATGAGTATAATAATATTTGCCTTATTTCCGTTACAAGGGGCATTCATTACAATTGCATATGCAATGAAGTCAGACACAAGACGTAAGCTAAAACCAAGAGAATTAAAGTTTTACTGTCGAAGATGCTGTGCCTGCTGTAAGATGAATAGAAAGAAATCAGTCAGGGAGTATGAAACTGGAATACCTAAGAGTGATTCTTGGCAGGACTACCTCAGTCCTTACAGAGACATTGAAGAAGTGTAGCTCATAAATGTGGATTAATCAATATTTTACATGCATTTATTTTCTAAAATAATTTATATTCAATAACAACCATCATTCATGGTAAAGCCTTTTCCCTAAAAGTTCAGTATTGTTGTACCAATGCACAAGGGAGAAACAAGCCAAGCAATTTTTAGTAAACAAATGAAAAATAACAAGGTTTACTTTCAATTCTTTAAGAATTTACTTTAGTCATTGTGTCTAGTGTACTAACAACTATTAGTAATCACACAGCCACGAATGAATAATAATACATTCATTGCTTTATGCTGCATGCATGGTATTAGCATGTGGATTAGAGTGATAAGATTCATTGACCAAGAGAAGCAAGAGTAAAGAAACACACCCATCATGGAAGAGAGTACCAATTTGACCTGTCATCTAACTGATACACAGTACAAGGTACTGATTGGGATCAGATCGAGCATAGCAATCATCTCCTTCCTGGCCTGTCTCTTTGTCATTGGTCACATTGTCCTCTTTAAAAAGTATCTCTTCAGATACCAAAGGATGATACTGTATCTTGACATTGTGCTCATCCTTTATACAGTGATTGAAGCTATCAACTCATTCAGCTACGATCTAGCTGCTCACTTACTGACATACTGCAAGATATTGGGATTCCTTGAACTATACATCAGTCTATCAGTGGTAGTTGCTATAACGTGCTTCACTATTGATATATTCCTCAAAGTATCATGTCAAGTCAATACTGACACAAAGCATGAGGTTGTCTACATACTTCTGATGTTCCTATCTCCAATACTTGTCACTTGGATACCATTTTACACGCAATCGTATGGCTTTGCTGGTGCATGGTGCTGGATAAAAACATTCCAAGATAAAAGTTGTACCAGAGATAGTACAGCAGTTGCTTTACAATTTCTTTTATACTATATACCACTATTCATCCTCTATCCTATTCTATTTCTTCTCCTTCTCATTACACTTTGTAGGCTATACAGACAGAGATATAACTATACTGCACAAGTTGATCCACATGCACCACAAAGAAGGACAGCTCTACGCAAGGAGATAAAACTTCTCCTTCCATATCCATTCATAATCCTTCTCACAAAACTGGTCCCACTCTTTACTCGTGTGTATAGAATATATGCTGCAGATACAGATACTCAGGGTGCTTTTGCATTGTGGATCGTTGATGCTTTTTTCATCTCCATCACTGGAGCTGTCATAGCAGTTTCATTCTCGTTCAACCCAGGGGTGAGAGAGCAACTCAAGTGGGCTCAAATCCGTGCAGCATGCCGTGAGCTTATTTGCTGGCACAGGCACAGAGTGAGGGAATACACTGCTGCAGAAGTAGTGCGATCTGATAGCAGAAGCCTTTCATTTACTCTAAGCGGAAGCATTAATACTGAGAATGTCTCACCACTGCTGACAGAGTTTGAAAATGAGGAATTGTCCACTGCTTACAGGGAGTTGGAGGACTAAAATAACTGCTATTGTTTTTAGAACATTACTGAAATATTCAATGGTCCAAGTCTTGCATATGCATGTAAATATTATTGCTTGCATTTTGTCAAAAACATCCTGTACTGGAGACATAATTTTTGGAGGAATAATTAAAAGGCGGGGCTTAAAGCGCCCACGCCCACACACAAGTCATAAGAATTTTTGGAGAAGATCAGCCATGAACAACTCGAGCAGTACTACAGATGGCCTTTGCGGGTACGCAAACTTTACTCCCGTCTCAGAAGACATGATACTAGCTATACTACACACTTCTTCGGCTGGTATATCCTTTATATCCAGTGTCCTGGTCATAATACTTATAATTCTCTTCAAGAAATATTCCTTCTTCGTCCAGAGGCTCATACTCTACCTGAGCTTCTCCGTACTTCTCTACTCGATCGCTTCAGCACTAGCAGTCACTAATTACACAGGAGATGAAAAGGTTTTCCCTGATAATTTCTGCGAGGCCATTGGCTTTGTCACTCAGTACACGCAGTGGACTCTCTTGCTCTCGGTAGCTGTTATCACCATTGACATCTTGCTAAGAGTTATTCTAAACAGAGCAACAAACTCCATAGAGATACTTTACCTCATATTCATATATGTATTCCCTGCCACTTTCAATTGGGCCCCATTTCTACAGGGACTCTATGGTCCAGCTGGATCTTGGTGCTGGATAAGGAGTTACACATTGAACGAAAGTGGAGACTGTGTGAAAAATGAAACTGGCCTCATATACCAGTTTTCATTATGGTATGGGCCTTTATTTGTCGTACTGGTCCTCATCAGTGTCTCATACATCATCATATTGAGTACTCTGAAACGCTACAAGCAGCGAATGAACATATACAATCACGACGAGATGGAGCTACTCAAAAAGATGAAACGAGAGGTTTTCATACTAATGTGGTACCCCATCATATTTGCACTCATAAACCTCATTCCCCTTGCGAACCGAATCATACATGCCTGCCTGGAACACGAGAAACGAATCTACGTCCTGTGGGTACTACACGCATTTGTCTCTCCATTACAAGGAGCATTCGTTGTTATAGTCTACGCTCTTGATCCAGAAACTAGAAGGAAATTGACTGTTGTTGGTGTAAGAGGAGCACTAAGTCAACATTGTTCGTGTTTCAATGGTCACAGGGGAATAGTAAGAGAGTACAAGGCAGAGGTTTTGAAGAGCGAAGGTGGGCCTGAAGCAAGGAGACCGCTACTTAAAGATAAATAGTAATAATAATAATAACTTAAATTTTAATGCTATTATTATGTGAGTGCCGTATGTACAATAAAATTATAATTTTGTATTATGAGTTTTTCTTTGGTTGATCTACTATGCTAATCTTGGCTGTTGTACATGTGAAATAGTAATGGAAATCTTATAAAATACAGAATGTACGTGTATTCATGTCCCAAATACAGAATGTACATGTATTCATGTCCCATTGTCTAATGTAATTGACATGCACTTATTTGGAAAACAGTATCACATGATGCAGTAAGGTGTGGTGGTGGTATAGTTTATTTATGCAAGTTGTGCTTTCTCATCTCATCAAAGTTATTCATCATATAACCTCATAGCCTGGGGAAGGACTGAGGATATAATAAAGATTCCCAGGTAAGGAGTAATAGTATTGGGCTAGGTTGGGTTCATTTTAGACTATACTGATTCAGTTGATGTATGTACATGTACATGTCAACAGATGTAACCCTACATTTGAAATAAATTTGTCTTAACTAATGACCCAGACCTAATACATGCCTTTAAGAGTAGATCTACTATAGCAGCCTGTGTATTGCTTCTATTTCCTTCCCATAGTAAGTGAAGCTGATAACAAGATGGCTAATAATAGCTCCATTGACACAAGCTGTTTCCCTACAAGTCATCAATTAGAGATCATAGGTTGGGTCTCCATTGGTACAGGTGGTGCCTCACTCATCTCTTGTATCCTTATTCTCTTTGTTGCCATTCTATTCCAGAAGTACAGAGGTACCACACAGCGTGTGATACTCTACCTGACAATCACAGTCTTTCTCAATTCTATCCTATACTTACTCCATGGGATAAGGACTATTTTAGAGGGAGCAACCGATAGTGATTTCTGTATTGCTCTTGCTTTCCTCGACCAGGTCATTAGCTGGATGGAATTCTTAGCCATTTTGTGTCTGACCGTTGATTTCTTTGTGAAGTCCGTTTTCTTAAAGTTCAACACAGAGAGATTCGAAATCGTATACGCCTTAGTGATTTTTATCTTACCATTCACTTTCAACTGGGTTCCATTCTTAGGCAATACATACGGCTACGGTGGCACTAATTGCTGGATAAAACAATATAAAGATATGAACTGCAGCGAGACAGACAAGCTTGGACTTGCCTTTCGTTTCGGCCTATACTGGATACCATTCTACATCATAATGACATTTGTCATTATAGCGTACTTCATATCTCTATTCAAAGCCAGACGAAGGATCACCCAGTATTCTGCCACAACTCCGACATTTAGTGAGCAAACAATCAAAGAGCTACTGCTATCTGAAGTCCGTCAATATCAGCTATACCCCTTCATCATGATAGTCATATTCTCGCTCGGAATTATATCGAGAATAGCCGAAGCAGTTGATGACGGAAAAAATTTTTTTGCACTCCGCGTGTTTCATGTTGTAGTGATGGCAATACAGGGCCCTGTCATTGCCATTGTCTTTACAATGGACTATGACACTCGTAAGCAGATATGCAACCCGAGACAGATTCTTACTGCCTGCTTTGGACTGTGGTGCTGCTGTAGGAAGAACAGAGTGAGAGAGTACACTGCCATAATACATGAAGGTAGTTTTATAAGTGATCCTATCATGACACCAAAGCAAAGCAGCTCAATGGAAGAAGAGTCACTAGCTACTGGCAGTGGGTATATTACAGCCAATAAAAAGAATGAAGTAATATGATAATATTACATTAGTATGATGATGGTATAATTTTTACTTGTCTTGTTGAATTTCTAATCGTGTTTCTAATTTTTGTGAAAAATTGTGTGATGCAGATATTACGATAATAATTATTACAATAATATTTTTACTTAATTACTTCATGTTTGTCTCATATCACATAAACACTGGATCCTGCTAATGTGAAAACTAGGGCTGTCTGTGAAAGGCTACAGTGAAAGTTGTTGCAATCATAAATAACACACAATCATCAAGTGTATAGAAGCAGATGATTATCATTCATCAAGAGGTTAACTCTTATCCATATTTGGATAACCATTGAATATAATTACTAGAGCAAGGAGAGTGCCACCCTCAGCAAGAATCAAAAGAAATGGGGAACTGCTCTAACTTAACTCCAGAAGATCAACAGGTCATTGGCCTAACAGGAGCCATTACTTCCTCTATCTCTCTCATAAGCTGTCTTCTGGTCATCCTAATGATGATAGTTTACAAGAAGTACACCTTCACCACACAAAGACTCATTCTCTACCTCACCATCAGTGTCATGTTTGATAGCATAGCTCACATTCTACAAGGAGGCAGCTTTGGCATCATCTCCAATCACTCTAAATACTGCATGGCCATTGCTTTCCTAAGGCAGTACTTTGCTTGGAGTATCATATTATCTATTGACTGTATATTGATGGAGATGGCATTGAGGATAATATGCAGAAGAGAGAGTGGGAAAGGAGAGTGGCTATACATCCCGTTTATTTTTGTCTTCCCTCTCTTTTTCGCTTGGATACCACTCCTTAAGCACGACTATGGAGACATTCAGGGGACGTGTAACTTCCTAACAATCAACCCGGGAACATGTACAAGGAATAGAACTGGTCTCATACTTGACGTGGTCTTATGGTGGGTCCCTCTCTATCTAACCTTCTTCGTCGGGGCAATTGTGTATCTAATTATAATTTGTCAACTCAATATCTCAAAAAGGAGATACACTGCAATGCTGGAACTGGACAAGGAGGTGATATACAAACGGACTATGAACGACATTGGTTACTTCAAGTGGTATCCATTACTCTACTTCATTATAAACCTCATACCAATAGCTGCAGCAACTACTAGCTACATCCGTCCAAATGATGATCTCCTTGCTCTCAATATACCATCAACAATCATCGTTGGACTGCAAGGAGGCTTCATAGCACTAGCAGCAGCTTTGGACCCATCCACTAGAAAGAGGTTGGGATGGAGATCATTTTGTTCTGCTTTCAAAGAGAATGTTCTTTGTCGAGACACGGCTGAGGAGTATCCCATACTAGAGGGGAACTTTACTGATAGTTTAAACCTGTCAGAGACTCACAGGATAATGCCTACTTATAATGAATAGTACAAGCAAACCTACTTTAATAATGTATTGTTATTGTTATTAATACTATAAGTGTGTATTATGAGTGTCTCATTTAAGATAAAGCAAATGTTTTGTCAACCAATACATTGTGTTCATCAAATTATGAAAACTGCTCAATGAACCATGTTTGCATGCTTTCAATACAATGAGGAGAGGTCAGTTTATTCTAGTGTGGTGCATAAATGAGCCCTCTATAAAAAAGGGGAGGTACAATCTCTGTAGAATGGACTGTGTAAACTGTTAGTGCATTGTCAGTAGTAGAAAGGATAAGAAATCAGGAACTTGAGCTATAGTAAAAGTGGGAGAGCAGTGTCATAGGAACTGATAATAATGTCCAATGATACTTTCAATTCTTCTAATGTTAGTTGTGAGGGACTTTTTGATTCTAAGCAACTCCAAATACTTGGAATAACACAAGCAGTGGCATCACTGGTCTCACTATGCAGTTGTGTCTTCATCCTCTTTATAATGCTCATATTTAAGAAATATTTGTACCAAACACAGCGACTCATTATATACCTTACTATATCAGTCATGCTGGTATGTACTACTTTTGTTATCAGAGGCTTTGGCTACAGTCTCATTAATAACACAGCATTTTGTGCTGGAATTGGATTTGCTGGCCAATATTCTGGTGGCTGCATTTTAGGATCTGTGACATGCATCATTATCAATATATTTGTACTTGCTGTACTAAAAAAAGAGAATTGGAATTTAGAGCCACTTTATGTCCTGGGTATATTCGTGGTCCCAGCCACCATTGACTGGTTGCCGTTCATCTCAAATGCCTACGGGCCAACACGAGAATGGTGCTGGATCAGAAACCTTAACTTTGACACGTGTGATATATTTGTATACGGACTGGTACTACAGTACGTCCTGTGGTTTGTACCCTCAATCAGTGTATGCGTAATAGGAGGGATAGTGTATATCATATCACTGGTCTCAATAGAAAGGCAAAAGAGGGCATACAAAGCATTAGTGGATCCAGGAGCTATGCACTTACATACAGCAGCAATTAATGAGATTAGACAATATCGCTGGTACCCATTGCTATACCTAATAGTTAATCTAATAGTGTTTTCTGTTCGAATAGCAAGTGAAGCAGATAGTGGTGTGGATACGTTTCCCTTATGGGTTCTCTCTGGTATAATACAAGGCCTTCAAGGTGGGTTTATAGCAGCGCTGTTTTCTTTTGACAAGGACACTAGGAAGAGGCTCACTTGGGCCAATATTAAGAACAGCATCAAATATAATGTACTAAGAGTTGAGGACACTGTTGAGTATCCAGCACAGGATATAGATGATAACCAAAGTCTGACAGATAGTTACCGAAAAGTAACCGAAAGTGTAAAGTTTGAAGATTAACTGACTTGCTTGTAATAATAAAATGACTTTTTTGTTCGTAATATTTTTACTAAAATAAAATTTAAATTCAAATTCAGATTACTGTATCATATTACTAAATTGATTTCAAATCGAACTCAGAATCTTTTTCACATAGCACTAGCAGTAAGTGTATCAATAAAATCGTGTGTTGGTTGCAATTGAAAGTTATTCTTGTTTTATGAACTTGTCCAATGAATTTTACTTATATCTTTAATATGCTAGGCAAACAGTTTACGAGAGTATAGGACAGTGGAGACATTCCTCCTCTTCCATACCACATGTTATGACAGCTATGTAGATGATGCCAAATCATGTGATCTGTGTACAGTGTGTGGCCCTACAAGATGTCTAGGCTCCTTGAAGACAATGAAGACAATACACTCAACTGTAACTGCAGCTACTTTGACAATGATGATTACAAGAGAATAGGACAAGAGACTAAATGCACAAAGACTACAAGAGACTACAAGATTACAAGAGACTAGCACAAATTGCTTCATGCTCTGTCTCATTATTAGGCTGTGCTTTGATGCTATTCCTCATATTATTCTTGGGAAAGTACAAGTACAGCACACAAAGGATCCTCAATGTGGCTTTTGCTCTCAATAGCATAGGTTTCATAATATGTGCAGCCACTTATGCTGAAATGAATATAGCTCCAATTTGTCTTTGCAGCCATAACTTGTATGCATCATAGCAGAGATATTTTTTAAAGCTATTCTTGAAGTTGGTAAGAGGAGGCATAGGTACGAGCTCATTTACCCACTAGTCATTATTGCTCTCATGTACAATGAGGAGAAGTCAGTTTATTTTGCTGAGGCCCTCTATAAAAAGGGGAGGTACAATCTCTGTAGAATGGACTGTGTAAACTGTTAGTGCATTGTCAGTAGTAGAAAGAATAAGAAATCAGGAACTTGAGCTATAGTAAAAGTGGGAGAGCAGTGTCATAGGAACTGATAATGATGTCCAATGATACTTTCAATTCTTCTAATGTTAGTTGTGAGGGACTTTTTGATTCTAAGCAACTCCAAATACTTGGAATAACACAAGCAGTGGCATCACTGGTCTCACTATGCAGTTGTGTCTTTATCCTCTTCATAATGCTCATATTTAAGAAATATTTGTACCGAACACAGAGACTCTTGATATACCTTACTATATCAATCATGCTGGTATGTACTAGTTTTGTTATCAGAGGCTTTGGTTACAGTCTTATTAATAACACAGCATTTTGTGCTGGAGTTGGATTTGCTGGCCAATACTCAGGTGGTTGTGTTTTAGGGTCTATGACATGCATCATTATTCATTTATTTGTACTCGCCGTACTTAAGAAAGAGAATTGGAATTTAGAGCCACTTTATGTCCTGGGTATATTCGTGGTCCCAGCCACCATTGACTGGTTGCCATTCATCTCAAATGCCTACGGGCCAACACGAGAATGGTGCTGGATCAGAAACCTCAACTTTGACACGTGTGATATATTTGTATACGGACTGGTACTACAGTACGTCCTGTGGTTTGTACCCTCAATCAGTGTATGTGTAATAGGAGGGATAGTATATATCATATCACTGGTCTCACTAAAGAGACAGAAGAATGCATATAAAGCACTAGTGGATCCAGGAGCTATACATCTGCAAACAGCAGCAATAGATGAGATCAGGCAATATCGCTGGTACCCATTGCTATACCTTATCATTAATCTAATAGTGTTTTCTGTTCGAATAGCAAGTGAAGCAGATAGTGGTGTGGATATGTTTCCCTTGTGGATTCTCTCTGGTATCATACAAGGTCTTCAAGGTGGGTTTATAGCAGTGATGTTCTCTATTGACAAAGACACTAGGAAGAGACTCACTTGGGCTAACATTAAGAGCAGCTTCAAGTATAATGTACTGAGAGTTGAGGACACTGTTGAGTATCCAGCACAGAATATAAATGTAGGTGGTAGTCATAGTCTAACTGATAGCTACAGAAAGTTACTAAAAATTTAAAGTTTGGAGATAGACTCATAACTATAAACTGATTGTTCTTGTTAATTCTATTCTATTATTATAAAAATTTAATTAATGTATCAGAAAAATAAAGAAATTGGGGATGACTTCAAATCCAGGTCGGACTCCAGTCTTTCACATAGCACAAAGGCATCTATACACATCAATAACAACTTGATATTTTGTACAAGTCAAAGTTAAGGCTATCATACATGGGGTCACATTGTTGCTTGCAACTTTGTGGCTACTTTGATCTTGTTGCTTCAAGTTGAGCAGTGGTCAACTTGAAGCAACAAAGATCAAAGTAACCACAAAGTTTCAAGCAACAATGTTTGCCCCATGTATGGTGGCCTTAATAGTTCTGATTGAAAGTTGCATGAACGTGTCAAATAAATCTACTGCCCTTACATGCTAATATGCTATTTGAGAAATTGTGAGAGACACTCCTCTTCCATACCACATGTTATGACAGCTATGCAGATGATGCCAAATCATGTGATCTGTGTACAGTGTGTGGCCCTACAAGATGTCTAGGCTCCTTGAAGACAATGAAGACAATACAGTCAACTGTAACTGCAGCTACTTTGACAATGATGATTACAAGAATATAGGACTAGCACAAATTGCTTCAGGCTCTGTCTCATTATTAGGCTGTGCTTTTATGCTGTTCCTCATATTATTCCTGGGAAAGTACAAGTATAGCACACAAAGGATCCTCCTCTACCTCAATGTGGCTGTTGCCCTCAATAGTATAAGCTTCATAATACGTGGAGCCACTTATGCTGAAATGGATATAACCCCAATTTGTCAAGGGGTCGCTTACTTTGGCACAATGTCAGGAATGTGTGTCCTTGCAGCCATCACTTGTATCATAGCAGAGATATTCTTTAAAGCCGTTCTTGAAGTGGGTAAGAGGAGACACAGGTACGAGCTTATCTATCCGCTACTCATCTTTGCTCTGCCTATCATGCTCAGTGGGATTCCTTTCATTAAAGAAAAATATGGAAAATCGGGGCCTTGGTGCTGGATAAAGGGGAAAGATCGTTCCGATGAATACATATGCACTGACGACAAAAATGTTACTTATTCATGCAAGACTGATACACTTGGTGTTGCCTATCAGTACGGCCTCTGGTTTGGACCTGTCTTTCTTATTACCATAATAGGAGGCATAGTGTATCTCATATCTCTCATCAACATACAGAAGAAACTGAAGTGGCATAAGATGATGTACAGCACTAACACTCAAAAAAAGGAACAACGTGGCCTGCTCGAAGAAGTCAATCACTTTCGCTGGTACCCAACGATATTCTTTCTCGTAAATATCATGCCACTGGCCACAAGAATAGCAGATATATACTCCAATAAGAACAGCAATGATCGTGATAATGCTCTTATCATCATGTGGCTAATCACTGCTTGTGTAGAGGCAAGCCAAGGACTACTCTTAGCTATAATGTTCACTTTGATTCCATCGACAAGTAGATACCTCACGTGCAGGAGACTCAAGTTCATGTGTAGAATAAGATGTGGAGTCTGCTGTAGTTGCTGTAGTTGCTGCAACATTGAGGGAGGAAGAGCACCTCTTATAAAATCACAGGAAGTACATATAGATGAGAGAGAAAGTGAAAGGGGGAAATTTAATCAAGAAGTAACTGAGAGTAACTTCATTGAGAGAGTGAGAGAGTGATCAGTACTTGTACACAAAGAGACAGAGATTGTTTGTGTTTTTTTAATAAAAATTGTAACATTACTATTGTTCATATCGCATAACAAAGCACAAATGGCTAACTGTTATTCTTAAAACTTTTACTGAATGAATAAACTACATAAAGTCACTTCATTGAATAGAGAACAGTTGTGATAGAGTATAGAGGATACTAATACAGTTATGCCTTAAAATATAAGTTGATTATAAAAAGCCAGGATAGCTAATAGAGTAAAAGAACTTTATCAGAAGTGCAAAGAGTAGCATTGTCACAACTATGATAGCACATTCTCATACCTGTCACAACTCACTAGACAATACTGAGGATAACAAGAGAAGAAAGGAAGATGGATGACAATGGCACAAATTGCAGACAACAATTTGAGACACCGACTTTTGTAGCAATAGCAAGTTTGAGGGCAATGATGGGCAGTCTTTCACTTCTGGGATCTGTCTTTGTCATTTTCATTATCATGTACTTGAAGAAATATGTACTTTACACACAAAGGCTTGTGCTGTATCTCAGCATTACTGTAGGGCTTAATGCCATAGCAGTAATATCACAGGCAGGAGTGTATCTACCAATGGAGAGTGAGGCTGTCAAGATCTACTGTCAGATATCAGGGTACCTCAGCCAAAGTACTGACTGGTCAGAGCTAGTAGCAATATGCTTGGTTACATTTGATCTCTACCTCACAGCAGTTATGAATGTTAAATCAAAGAGAGAAGTCATACAGTTTCTGTTAATCTTTTTCCTCCCACTTGGAGTCAATCTACTGCCTTTTATAGGTAGCAGTTACGGCCCTTCTGGTCCCTGGTGCTGGATAAAAACGTACAATGACGACTGTAGCAAATCACAATCGGGTAAAATATTTCAAATACTGCTGTGGTATGTACCAATTACTCTGATGATATTCTTTCTCATTATAACGTACATTGCTATTTATTATAAGCTACGTCAACAGAAGAAGCAGTACATTAGCTGTAGGAGTGAGAGCAATGCCTGCCTCATTCGTTTGAGACAAATGATTCAAAAAGAAATAAAACCGCTTGTTCTGTATCCAGTTCTATTCCTGTTCTTTAATTTCTTTACACTTTTAAATGGCCTGGCATCGCAATTCTACTCTGAGCCCATACGCACACTGTGGCTATTGGAAGCTTTAATCACTCCGTTTGTTGGTGTGGCTATAACACTAGTCTATACCCTTGATCCTGAGACAAGAAAAAGACTTCAAAAATGTGATCTTAGAACCGACTATCGAAATAGGGTACAAGCAAGGAAAAGGATATTAGATTTCCCTTTATTAACTCCACCAAGATCTGATAGTAAACTTGACACATTAAAAAAGAAGGACTTAGAAAAGGCTAAAATGCTAAATGAGGAACAGTTGACAAATGCTCAATCCTCACCTTACGTCAATCTACAGACACTTATTGACAATGATGATGAGAATAGTAACAAATAATTATAGAGTGAGAATAGTTTTGAGGTGAACTTGATGAATGAAAGTGTGATTGTTCGTATTTGAAGTAAAACAATTTTGAAAATAATCATAAAATACAAGAGTACCATTAAAACTAATACTGTAATACTGTACTGGGAGAGATTTAGGCATATTGCCAATAATAATTTTAGCTTAATAAGCTGCGATTTGCAGTCACGTGCCATATTGAGCATGCACAAAATGGTCCAAACTAACACGGAACAATTAAGCAGATTTGACACAAAATCATACATCACATACTGTGGTATGGGGTATAGTACTAGTAGTACAGGGTAATTTCAGGAAATTGGCTCATTTTTAAAATGGCCATAACACAAGCAATTTTAGTTGGAATTGCTTCAAACTTTCTACACAGCATAAGGACATCAATATGCATCAAAAAATGTAATAAAAATTTGGGGTGATTTCAGAGCCATTTTTTTCAAAAAAACCATGGGCTATAGCCTTGGGTAACTTTCAAAAATTGACCATTTAAAAAATACTTATAACTTGAAAAATTGAAGTCGGAATCAGTTCAATCTTTCTACACAGCATAAGGACATCAATATGCATCAAAAAATGTAATAAAATTTTTGGGTGATTTTGGAGCCATTTTTTTGAAAAAACCATGGGCTATAGCCTTGGGTAACTTTCAAAAATTAACCATTAAAAAAAAATATTCATAACTTGAAAAATTGAAGTCGGAATCAGTTCAAACTTTCTACACAGCATAAGGACATCAATATGCATCAAAAAATGTAATAAAATTTTGGGGTGATTTTGGAGCCATTTTTTTCGAAAAAACCATGGGCTATAGCCTTGGGTAACTTTCAAAAATCAACCATTTAAAAAAAATACTCATAACTTGAAAAATTGAAGTCAGAATTAGTTCAAACTTTCTACACAGCATAAGGACATCAATATGTATCAAAAAATGTAATAAAAATTTGGGGTGATTTTGGAGCTATTCTTTCGAAAAAACCATGGTACTTATAGATAATTCTGCATGCATAACACTGTGAGATTAATTAACAAATGATAATAAAACAAAGACAATATTTATTAATGCAAGCACAACAATACAATAAATCCTAACCTTTATTAACTGGGCATGTCTCAACTCTTCTCTCTTCTGCTGCTTGAGGTAGGCATTGACCAATCTTCTTGATCTTGTGTTTATTTCTGCTAATGATGGCCAGATGTACTGCTCTGTGCTCTGAGATAACTGAACTGCTGGTATCACTAACATTGCAGCTGTGGATGCCCTTGTCCTATCAAATAAAACAAAATTTAAAATTTTTAAATGTAATGTAGTAGTAAGCAATCACAGGATACTTACAAAGATAAATTTATTAGAAGTGACAAAAATATAAACAATATGAACATCATGTTACAGTAATTTATACTGTTCCATATGGTAAACCATGTGAAGAACTATAGCATGGGCTATAAACAGGTTAATGTTGTCATAGCAATGATATTAATTCAATGTTAGTGTTATGAGAGATCATAACAAGGCATGTTATTCAAGGAATAGAAAGATAAATACTTAAAAATAGCTAGCACTACAAAATAAACTAACAAAAACTTAACATAATGTGAACTGGTATATGACATAGCACAATATAATTGTAACAGTTATGTATAGAAACTGCCAGTCCTTCTGTTATATTGTTCCTCTTGTTCCATGTATCTCTGATAATGATCATCAACTATCTGAACAATATTAACTTCATTCTCTCTCACACGATACTTGTAACGTTTAGCCAGTATCACAAACACTATCAGTATGATAAGAACTAGTACACTCTTTGTTATATAATAATAGAGGCTAGTACACAAATATTTAGATTCACATTCAAATGGAAATTTAATCGCAATAGTAACCAGATAACCAATGCCCCAAGAAGAATACCAAAAACCTAACATTACTCCTCTAGCATGAACTGGAGCTTGAGCTACAGTGAACTCCAATGATGTGGGAAGTACGAAAAGGAATGCAAGAGCATTTAAAAACTGTGGGAAGAGAAACAGTAAATTATAAACAGAACTTTCGTTGGGAGATATTTTAATACCAATAATATTAGAGACTATAGAAATGAAAGCAAAAAACAATCCAATGGCCATTCTAGTGAGCATACTGGGGATATATTTGTATAGACAAGCCTTAATTAAACAGAGATACACTAGTAATAAGAGAAGAGAAATGATGAAATATCCTAGCCCAGAAAGAATAAAACATGACATGAAAGAGACTTCACCAAGAACCCAGTTGTGATCGTTACCGCATGTGAATCCAAAAATTGCCAAAAATAATGGTAGCATGCGAAAGATTGTCTTCACATCTTCTACCTCTTCCTCTGTGAATGGTCCACCATATTTATCCTTACCCAGGTCTAGTCTTGAAGGAGCCTCTTCCTCCCAGTAGGTCAGAGCACTACGATTCTGAGGATACTTGTGCTTCCTGGCATAACACAATACTCTAACTATCAGTTTGATGGGATTCTTGATCAGTGATACGTTCTCCAGTTTGTGTTTGAGGAATGAATGAGACACCAGTACAAGAGATACAAGAAGACCAGATGTTAAATAAACAGTCAAATTAAAGAACTGACCATCAAGAGAACATCGTAATAAAAAATAGCACATTGGTACAAGAGGAACTGAAACACAATTTGAGAATATGATAGTATTTAGTTCATCAGCTGATGATCCAATTACTTGATCAATATTATATTGAAGTATGTTGGATTTAAAACTTGTATAGCCTGCAAAATGAACTACATAAGCAACAGAAAAGATAATCCAGAAGATAAAAAGTGGGCACCCTAACATATCTACAATAAATCCAATTCCTATTACAATCCATGATATAAAACACAATACTATACCAATCAGTATAGCCTTGTATCTTCCAATCCATACATCAGCTAACAGACCAAATAAAGGGCAAGATATATACCCAAGACATATAAGTATCAAAAAACCATACTTGTACCAGCTAGCAGGATGAGAGTGAGTGATGTAGATGTTGGTAGAAAGATTAATCAATTGATTATTGGAATATATTAGGTACTGCCATGACAAAACCAATACAAATGAAGGAGAAGAGAAGACAGAATTTTTCCAGGCCATGATTGAACTTCATAGGGAACAGATGTGAAAGGATTTCATTGGCAGCAATGCGTTGTCGTCCTGTTATGCTTGCATGAGTAGTGATTTAAATAAACAATAAGCACAAAGATAAAAGAAAATATTGTATTGGATCATTGACATTGGCAATACTATATCAAGAGTGATATGAACAACAATGAAATATATATACATATATAATGTTTTAAATATAATGAGACAAACTTTCTATACTGCATCTTGTATAAAGAAACTTAAGTATTAAGTATTGTGTAAATGTGTGATAATAGTTGATGTATTTCTAATCATGGCTATATGGACAATTGATACATGTTCAAAGACATGTCATTTCTCAGAAAATTACAAGACATCAGTAAATGTAATAAACAAGTTCAATTTGCCAAAAAATTAGAGTATAACAAAAACATAAAATTTTGGTATTGCAGGACTAAAAATAAAATGTGAAACAAAAATGAGAGCTAATAACTTAAAATACTAAACTCATCACTATCATGACCATTACGCTCCTCTTGTTCCATGTATCTCTGATAATGATCATCAACTATCTGAACAATATTAACTTCATTCTCTCTCACACGAAACTTGTAACGTTTAGCCAGTATCACAAACACTATCAGTATGATAAGAACTAGTACACTCTTTGTTATATAATAATAGAAACTAGTATATATGTATTGACTCTCACAAGCAAATGGAAACTTGACAGTGAAATTAATGAAAAGGCCAATGCCCCAACAAGCATACCACAATCCAACCATCACTCCTCTCATGTGTACTGGAGACTGAGCTACTGTAAACTCCAGTGATACTGGATACACAAAAATGTAAGAAAAGGCCTGAATAGTTTCTGGAATAAAAAGAAACTTACCAAAACTGCTTATGTCGGGATGAGACCTATCAATGACAAATATGATCACTTTAGAAACTATAACAATGAAAGCAAGGAAGATACCAACACTCATTCTAGTCAGCATACTCGGAATATACTTGTAGAAACAAACTCTGATAAAGAATAAATAAACTAACATTAGAATGACTGAACAAAAACGGTAGTGAGAATCTGTTACTGCTAAGCAAGTTGTTAATGTAAAACTCTTAACAGCAGACCAATAGGTATCATCACTGAGAATAAAAGCAAGGAAACCAATGAATAATGGTAGCATACGAAATACTGTCTTCACATCTTCTACCTCTTCCTCTGTAAATGGTCCACCATATTTATCCTTACCCAGATCTAGTCTTGAAGGAGCCTCTTCCTCCCAGTAGGTCAGAGCACTACGATTCTCAGGATACTTGTGCTTCCTGGCATAACACAATACTCTAACTATCAGTTTGATGGGATTCTTGATGAGTGATATGTTCTCCAGTTTGTGTTTCAAGAATGAATGAGACACCAGTACAAGAGATACAGATACACCTGATGCTATGAAAGTGATGATGATAAAATACTTACTACTATAAAATAAGCATTGAAGAAGGTAAAAGATTGAAGCCACAAGTGGTTCAGATAGCATATGCCAGTATATGACAAAATTCAGTTCATCAGCTGAAGCTCCAACAAGTTGATCAATGTTATACTGAATAATGTTAGCAGTGAAACTGGAGTAACCACAAAAGTGTGTAATGTATGCAATACTATAAAAACTCCATAAAACTGCTTCAAAGACAACGTTATTCACAACAATTAGTCCAATTCCTAATATGATCCATGACATAAAGCACAATACTATACCAATCAGTATAGCTTTGTATCTTCCAATCCATACATCAGCTAACAGACCAAGAAAAGGGAAAGAGCAATAGCCAAAGCAATATATAAAGACAAAACCATACTTATACCAAGTGGCAGGAGCAGCTTCAGTAGCAAATATACCAGTGAAACGACTAAACAAGAAATAATGAGTGTATATGAGGAAGTTCCATAAGAGAACCAAGACTGCTGGAGGAGATATGAGAAGAAACGGCTGCATTTTCCTCAAAATGTAAGCAGCAATACGAGCTGAATTGATATTACTGAAGTAAATGAAAGTGATTAAGCCTCAAAAAACAGTTGCCTACATAGGCTATTGTGTTTGTAGAATTAATATTGTGGTAGCATTACTTTTTAATATAAAAACAAATGATAGGGACTAGTTAAACAATAACACAGGAATAAGAAAGACAATGAAGATACATTAAGAGTCAATGATATAATTACAATTATAAGGAAAGAAAGAGGATACTGAGTGACTACTTACATAATGACTGTCATTCACAATCCTAGCCTATCAATAAAACACTGACAAATAAGGTAATATTAATATCATCAACAAGTGAAATTAGCAGAGTCAAATCCTTACTAATACATCAAAACACTAAATTAGTAAATCAAATAAAAAGTTAACCAAATACAGTTACATAATAATTATTATTAAATAGCAAAAGTTAGAAATAAGAATAAGTTGTTATAATCTTTTGCTGATTTCGGGTTTTGTAAAGATTTGGCAAAAATTTAAGATTAGGCAAAATCTAACTAATACAATACAATACTAGCCCAAACAGATGTGATTTGCACAAATGAAATCCAACATAAAAATGATATTGGGTAGATCTGCAAAATTTAATCTCTTCACTATACGGTAATCATAAACAGCATCATAGCTGCCAATGGTTTCTTTTCCTAACTTTTGACGTTATTATGACCATTTCAAGATGTTCCATTAGTTTACCAGTTTTATCAATGTTGTTGGTATATCTACATGCACACAAAACCCCATCAGACCATCAGGTGTGATTATATACAGGCTAATAAAGTTAATGAAATAGCTCTTTTAACATTCAAAACTGACTGTCTAGAGGATATTAATAAGTGAATAAAATGGTTTCGTTTGTATGCATGCAGTGAAAAATAATGACTGTCATTTGAAAGCATAAGAATCCTACTTAGTAACGATACCACATTACTAATAATAAATACACTAAAATAATCTTAGTCGCTATATACAAATTGTAATGACATTTTAAGTAGTTTAATGATTACACATAACTTGAAAACAATGACAGGAATATGAAAGATAAATTAAAAACAAAAACACACCTTAACAAAAACTAAATTAATAATTAATACTATAGTGAACTTAAGAACAT